GGGCGGGGCGGGCTGCCGCAGTTGCTCTGCTGCTTGCCGCCATGTCCTCGTTTTTCTTCCTCTGTTGTGAGTTTTGAGTACATGCGAATGTCGGTCTCCACCGCCCGCCGCTGCCGTCAACGGCACACATCAGCGCCTCTGGTCACACGCTGCTGCTGGGTTTTAGGTTTGGACGAAAGAAACCCTTTCGGTACATTACGGCGTTCGATGCAATTCATTCTGTACGATCTTTGTGCCCCTGCTAGCCCGGCAACCACCGGCTTTATCATTCGGGGGCGGAGTGGTGTGGCGAGCATCTTAATTCTCTTGTTGCTGTTTTGAGTTTTAAAGGAGGGGAGGGGGTCGGGTATTTTAGCTGAAAGTAGGCACGAGATTGACGGATCGGTGGGAAGGAAGAAAAAACGAAAATTATGATACTTCTGTTTGTCGGCGTTTCGAACATCGATTCGCGTTGGGGCACTGCGATTTGGTGTGCTCTGGGTACGATCTTTTGTTTTTTTTTCCTCGTTCCGAAAAAAAAGTGTGTGTGGTGTACTTTCGGTGTTGTCTGTCGCGCCCCCGCCGCGGTTTGCCGCGAGTGAGTTGGGCGACGTTCTGCCTGACAGAATAAACGAGGCAGACTCGTGTTGACCCGCCGTACGATGCTTCGGGTGGGCGGATCACGTGGCGAGAGTTTTGTCGTTAGGAATTCTTTGTTTCCGAGGCGGTGGGCATTCCCCGCTTGCCCCCAGTTCCTGTCGCAGGACAAGCAAGAAGCGGGTAGTTGTTGGCCCCGCTACCCTCAGAAAAAGTCTTTCTTGAAGCTCCGGGCTCTTTGGGGCTAGGCGAGAATCCCTTTTGTGTGGAAAGAAGAGGGCCGGGCGAACAAGTTCGTAGCTGTAGGATAGGTTTGTGAGCACATTATATTTTTGCAGGTGGTTGTCGGTTGTGTCTTTGTGCGTGGTGCGCGTGTGTGTTGTGTGTGTTCGTACTTCTTTCATTTTGTATGGACTGCGCTAGCCGGCTGCTGCTGACCGATGAGAAGAAGTCAGCAGCTATGTGTGTGTGTGGCGGGACATGAGGACGTGCTCTAGCACGTGTGAGTGTGTCGTCGCTTGTGGAGGGAAACGGGTCACTGTGATACGCGTTTTGGAGGACACGGGTACGGAGTAGTAGGTAGATAAACGAGAAGGTGGGGACGGGGGGCTGAGTTCTAATTGGCGGGCCCCCCCCCCCCTCCCCGCCGGCCTTCTCGGCAAGTGTAGGTTTTATCTACAGGCAAAGGTATGTAGTTACTGTAAACGTCA